GGGGGCTGAGAGCCAGGGGAAGCTGTGACAGCAAGGGATGCAGGATGCTATCTATTGTAGAAAAGGCAAGGGCTTTGGAGCCAGTTATACCTGGAGTTCATTCATTGTTTGAAATGCGCTCTTGAGTGATGGCTATGTGCCAGTCACTGCTCTAGGCATGAGGGGCTGGAGTGTGGCAGCTCATGCCTGTAATCCCAGCACTTTGGGAGGCTGCGGTGGGAGGATTGCTTAAGCCCAGGAGATCAAGACCAGCCTGGGCAACATAGTGAGACCCTATCTCTGCAAAAAAATTTTAAAAATTAGCTGAGCATGATGGTGTGTGTCTGTAGTCCCAGCTACTTGGGAGACTAAGGTGGGAGAATTGCTTGAGCTCAGGAGGCTGAGGCTGCAGTGAGCCATGAATGCTCCACTCACTGCATTCCATCCTGGGCGACAGAGTGAGGCTGTCTCAAAAAAAAAAAAAAAAAAAAAAAAATCCATCAATTAATCTAGGCACAAAGCATACAGCAGAGAAAAGGGAACCCTGCCCTCACGAGGCTTAAATGCTAGTGGAAGTTTTGACTCTTGCTTCTGTGAGTTGTGTAATTTTAGGGAAATCATGAACCCTCTCTGAGACCGTTCCTCACTAAGTGACTCCCTCCCAGGGTGTGCAAGGATTAAATGAGCTGACAGATGAAAGTCGTGCCTGGTGAAGTGGCTCACTCCTGTAATCCCAGCACTTTGAGGGGCTGAAGTGGGTGGCCATCACCTGAGGTCAGGAGTTAGAGACTAGTCTGGCCAACATGGTGAAACCCCATCTCTACTAAAAAATACAAAAATTAGCCAGATGTGGTGGCGGGGACCTGTAGTCCAGCTACTCAGGAGACTGAGGCAGGAGAATCACTTGAACCCAGGAGGCGGAGGTTGCAGTGAGCTGAGATCAAGCCACTGTACTCCAGGCTTGGCGACAGAGCCTGACTCCATCTCAGAAAACAAAACAAAACAAAAAAACCAACGAAAGTAGCTGCTGCAGGATCAGACACAATCATTATTAAGGTAGTTTTGGGAGGGAGTGTGGGGGAGGCTACATCAGTGGGCAGAAGGAGGAGTTGGCAGAAGTTTCTAAAAGTGTGCGTGTCTCCACTTATACCACTGAAACTTTTGAAAATATTCCCCTCCCCTGGGCTGAGGAGGCAGTCTTAGGAAACCCCAGCTTTGTTCCAACCTGCAGGATCATGGTTCTTTCTTTCTTTCTTTTCTTTCTTTCATTTCTCTCTCTCTCTTTTTCTTTCTTTCTTCTTTCTTTCGGAAACCCCAGCTTTGTTCCAGCCTGCAGGATCATGGTTCTTTCCTTCTTTCTTTCTTTTTCTTTCTCTTTCTTTCTTTCTTTTTCTTCCTTCCTTCCTTTCTTCCTTCTTTATTTCCTTCCTTCCTTCTTTCTTTCTTCTTTTCTTTCTTTCATTTTTGAGACAGAATCTTGCTCTGTCATGGGGCTGGAGTGCAGTGGCTCAGGTCTTGGTTCACTACAACCTATGCCTCCCGGGTTCAAGTGAGTCTCCTGCCTCAGCCTCCTGAGTAGCTGGGACAACAAGCACGAGGCACTACCCCCGGCTATTTTTGGTATTTATTATTATTTTTTTTTAGAGATGGGGTTTCACCATGTTGGCCAGGCTGGTCTCAAGCTCCTGACCTCAGGTGATCCACCTGCCTCGGCCTCCCCAAGTGCTGGGATTACAGGCATGAGCCACCACGCCCAGCCTAATCTTGGTATTTTTAGTAGAGATGGGGTTTCACCATGTTGGCTAGGATGGTCTTGATCTCTTGACCTTGTGATCTGTCTGCATCAGCCTCTCAAAGTGCTGGGATTACAGGTGTGAGCCACCATGCCCAGCCCGGATCATGTTTTTTTAGAGGGTAGGGTTGAGGTTAAGCCTTCTCCAGCCTTCCGGTTGAATGGGGCAAGAGCCGATCCCCAGAACTACCCCTCACCAGGTAATCCTGACGCTCATACCCCTGAATGAAGCACTCGGACAGTAATCTCTGCTCTGGGGCTGCTTCAAAAACCAACTCCTCCCTTCTGCCTTCTTCCCTGTTGACCAAGAGGGTGGCCAGAACAAACACTGGAGCAGATAAGTTGGCTCTGAGCCTGGGACTCTGGCCTCTGCTGTTTGATTCAGTTGAGGCGAAGGCGCAGTGTTCGTGCCTTTCCACCTTCTTCTTCCTTTTCTGTCCCAGCAGCTCCCCTAAACCCCCATTTCCATTTTTGCAGATAGCCTGTGTTTCCAACCTAGGTGTAAGTAATCTCCTGTTTCTTTTGCTTTTTATGTTTATTTTTTATTTTTATTTTTAACACGGGGTTTCACCATGTTGGTCAGGCTGGTCTTGAACTCCTGACCTCAGGTGATCTGCCCGCCTTGGCCTCCAAAGTGCTTGGATTACAGGTGTGAGCCACCACACCCGGCCGATTTTTCTTTTCTTTCTTTTTTTTTTTTTTTGAGACAAGAGTCTTGCTCTTTTGCCAGGCTGGAGGGCAGTGGCACGATATCGGCTCACTGCAACCGCCATCTCCTGGATTCAAGTGATTCTCCTGCCTCAAGCCTCCCGAGTAGCTGAGACTACAGGCGTGCGCCACCATGCCCAGCTAATTTTTTGTATTTTAGTAGAAATAGGGTTTCACCATGGCGTGAGCCACTGTGCCTAGCCTTTTTTTTTTTTTTTTCCAAGATGGAGTCTCACTCTGTTGTCCAGATTGGCGTGCAGCGACGAGATCTTGGTTGGCTCACTGCAACCTCCACCTCATGGATTCAAGCGATTCTCCTGCCTCAGCCTTCCAAGTAGCTGGGACTACAGGCATGTGCCACCACACCCAGCTAATTTTTTTGTATTTTTAGCAGAGATGGAATTTCACCACGTTAGCCAGGTGGTCTCGATCTCCTGACCTCGTGATCCGCCTGCCTTGGCCTCCCAAAGTGTTGGGATTACAGGTGTGAGCCACCGTATCTGGCTCAACCTCTATTTTAATATGCACCGGGAACACTGGAACATTTGCTCTTTCAAGGAACCAAATGATGATTCATTCATAAAGCTAAAAATCCTTTGGTTAACTGTTAACAATGGTTATTTTTGGGGAGAGGGACTGGGATAAGGGAGGAGGGAGACATCTATGTTTTGTACTTTTTTTTTTTTTTTGAGATGGAGTCTGCCCCCCAGGCTGGAGTGCAGTGGTGAAATCTTGGCTCACTGCAACTTCTGCCTCCGAAGTTCAAGTGATTCTCCTGCCTCAGCCTCCTGAGTAGCTAAGATTACAGACGTTTGCCACAATTCCTTGCTAATTTTTGTATTTTTAGTGGAGGTGGGGCTTTACCATTTTGGCTAGGCTGGTCTCGAACTCCTGAGCTCAAGTGATCCATCTGCTTTGGCTTCCCAAAGTGTTGGTATTACAGGCGTGAGCCATCGTACCTGACCTTGGTGTTTTTTTTTTTGTTTTTTCCTAGAGCGTTTCATAGTTCAAAAGTTTAGATTTTTTTTCTTTAAATAATGTAGGTGCTCTTTAAATAAGGGGTGCAGAACAAAACGGGGAGAAGGTGATTCTTGGGAAAGTCTGGGTCCATGACTGTGTGCTTGGGATGTGTTTTGGCGGGGCTGCCTGTGCCATGGGGTTGAGTCATGATCTGGGCACCTGCGTGTGTGTATTAGAGAGAGCGAGAGAAAATGCTGGTGCCCAAGTCTCTGCTTTGTGTTTTCACTTGTCTCTGCCTGTCTAGATGTCTACACATGTGGCTCCACCTTTCTGTGTCCATTATGTGAGTGCCCATGTCTGTGGCTCCTCTGGCTATCTTCCCTCCCCCACAGCCTGTACCCTGTACCGGTAACTGGACCTGGACACAGCCCCCAGGGCTGGCAGCAGAATTGACTGCTGAGTATTTTTAGCCTGTAAACATGTTTGCCATTTCAGAGGACAGGGCCGAGTTGGTCTCAGCTCCAGCCCACTCATGATCTTGCAGCAAGAAGGGCGCTCCTGCCTGGGCCAGGTCTCCTCAGTTCCCCAGCCTGCGGTCTCTCTTTCCCAGCTTTTGGAAAGGGGGGGACACTGGCTTGGAGTGGGCCGTGGGTGGCCACCTAGGAGGAAGGATAAGAGAATTCCTGGGGGAGAAGAGAAAGGGAGTGTGGAGGGGAGGGAGCGTGTAGCCAGAAGGCCCCGCACCCCATCATTAAGCGTTTAATAAAATCTCCCTGTAGTTAGAAGTGGCTGTGGGAAATTGCTGTAAATGGGAGACTTAGTGTCCCGCAAGCGGCGAGGTGGGGGAGGAGCGCGTAGAGGGGTGTGGAGAAGGAATGGGAGGCAGAGGAAGCGCTGGGGCTCCGGCTCCCGGAGGCGGGAGTCTGGAGAGGAAGGTGGGCGTCAGGTCCGCTCTCTTAACGCCTGCGGGCCTCACCCCGGTTTGCCCGCGGCCTGCGCAGCAGGGCGGTGCGCGGGGCACTGGTGACCACGGCTCCTGGGGGTGGGAATCCAAGCCGGTTCTGCGTGGGTAGGGACTGAGGGGCCCCGAGAAAGAGTGAACGCGAGAAATGGGCGCGGCTGCATGGAGCTTGGGAACCAAGCGAGGAGGCTGGGGCCTTGGATCTGAAGTGTGGTTGCCTAAGCTGAGAGAAACTCAAAGGTCCGTATCCGGCTGGAGGTGGCGGCGGAATCACCCAAGCCACCAGCCGCCTTCAGAGCCCCCAGGCCCTTCCTGCAAAATAAGTGGATTCGCAGTTCCAGCTGTGAGGGTGAGCCCAGGGAGCCTGCAGAAGTTTCTGGCCAGTGAAACCACACATTGCACACGCTAGAGAGCAGATCGAGATCCGGGATAGGACCGGAGCAGTGAACGGCGGCAGGGGGCAAAGCAATGTCCCCGCGTCCCCAAATGGCCCCCCTCCCCAGCGGCCCCCTCCCGGGTCCTTCCAGGGTCGGCCCCGTTCGCCAGTCCCAGCCCCGTTCGGGCCCCGCCCGGCCCCGCCCTCTCCCTACAGCTCTGGGCAGACCCGCCCGCCGGAGCCGGAGTTACAAGAGCCGCCTCCGCGCAGGGGGGACCGGCCACTCGGAGCTGCTCTGCCGCGGGGACTGCACCGCCCGCCCTGCCAGACCCGCCCGGACCGGGGCTTGTCACCGCCAGCAGCCGCAGCACCGCAGCCTCGGGCCCCGCGCCGGCTATGGCTGTGCCCTGGGGCTGAGCTCTCAGGTAGGGGCGCCAGGCGCACCGGGGCGCCGTCGGGGGCCAGGGCACCAAGGGCGGCTGGGGGGAGGTGGGTTGCGGGGCTCTGGCTGGGCGCGTAGTTGGGGGTGTCACTGTGAGGATTCAGTTTGGAACTAACGGGGCCGCCCGGGGAGGCGACGCGTGGCTCGCTGGGAGCGGAGCGCTGCCTCCGGAGTTGGGGCGCAAGTTAGTTAAAGTTGGAGAATCGCTCCGAAGTGCTTTGCTTCACTCAGTGTTTCACCGGAGGGCGGACTGTTGGCTCCACTGCAAGGCAGGGCGCCCGGTTCCCGGCCTGGTGGCTTCTGTCCCACCTCCTCTCCCTGAATGGGGCGGTGGCTCAGGGGCTTCTTCGTTCGGATCCCGTGTTTAATCGAGGGGAAGTTTCCGAGATCGCCTCCGCTGCCCCCCGCGCCGCGCGCCCCCTCCGCTGTCCTTCCGCGCTCCCGGCACCTCCGCCCCTAACCGCGTCCCGAGTCGTCCAGGCCCCACCCTGTTCTGTACCACCGGCCCCTCAGCCCCTTCTAGCTGCCCCGCCCTAGGCTTGCCCCTCCGTGTTCCCCGCTCCAGAAAATCTTCTTCCTTCTTCCTCCAGAAAACCTCCGGGCCGCGGAGCCTGGAAGTTTGCAATGTGCCTCCCAGCGGGACGGGTGGGGAGGGGGACATAATTAGGGAGATTCCTACGCTGGGGTGGGCGAGGAGGGGGTGCTGTGCAGCGGCCAGGCTTCGGGACCGCCCCTTCCCCTTCGGAGGCGGCGCTTTTCCCCCACCCAACTCCCAAACCCGTCCGGGCGGGATGGCCCCCGCCCCAGCGCCTGGCCCGGCGCCAGCAGCCTGAGGAATGTGGTGGTTGGAGCCGGTGACTAATTCAAACCAGAACTCGGGGAGGAGTGGTGAGGGGCAAAGGGGAGGAGGAAGGGGCTGTGTGTGGGAGTTGGAGGCAGGAGCCGGGCAGGGCGTGGGAGGAGGGCTGCTGCGTTCGCTGGAACCCTGCGCTCCAGTGGTGCGCGCCAGGAGAGGGGGCCCGGGGCGAGGTCCCGCCTGGGGTTGGAAAGGCGGCGTGCTTAGGGTGTGTGCAGAGCTGTGTTATGTAAGGCTTTCCCAAGCGAGGAGGGGCGTGCAGTGTGCGAAGGCCTGAGCCGCCCCTGGCAGGGCCGGGCGCCCCCCAGCAGTGCCCAGGCCAGGATGTGGGGGCGCAGCCCCTTGGCGGCGCTGACCATGAGGGACTCCAGGGGCCCAAGCAGGGCTGGTGTGCCCCTTGCTGGGAGGGGTGCGGAGGGGGCAGATGGGGGTTCTCAGTTGAAGCCGAGCCCAGACAACCAGGTGGGAAACAGCTCTGGCCCCCCTGCAACAGTGAGGCCACAGAGGGTTGTGTGAGATGTGTGTGCTTGCCGGTCTCGCCGGGTGTGGCTCCGGTCGCGGCGACGGTGGCGCTGAGGTGCTACCAGGGAGCGTGCGGTCGCTGCAGAGTGCCCTGCTCTGTGGAGGGGGTTTGTGGAAAGGCATTGCGGGAGCCCAGTAATTGGTTTTGAACTCGTCTTCGTTAGAGTCCAACCTCGGATTGCAGGGCTTCTCCCCTCTGCTTGCCCTTCCCGGCACAGCGCAGCGCATGGTGGGTGTGGGGTCGGTTTTGTGCAGTACAGTGAGGGGCTGCCGTAGTGAAGTTGAGGGAGTGGAAGAAGGCGTTTAAGGGCCTCTGCACCCATACTGGCTAATTCTGGGGAGTAGCTCTCGCTCTCACTTTCATCCCTGCCTCAAGAGGGAAATCCCGGGGGCAGGGTGTGGCACTCACTTCCTTTCAGAAGCTGAATGTGGGGAAGCTTCCTTCTCCTGCCCTTAGGGACAGCAGCGCTGCCCACCGCGCACCGCGTGGGTAGTGGCGTGTGCAGAATGGGGAGGCCGGGGAGCCCCTACAGTTAGGGACACCTCTTTGAGCTGTGAGCTATGGGCTGGGGGGGAGGGGACTAGGAGGGTGAGAGTGGAGCTAGGACAGGTCGCAGGGTTTGGGGGCTGCAGATGTGGTTAGAGGCTGTCTGAGCCCCTCTCTAAAGCCTTTGACGCTAAGAGGCTATGCACAGGGACGCTGATCAGAGAACGGGGACACGTGGGGAGCCTCATAAGTCATGTGGGCTGAAAAGGAGGCCCACCGCAGCGATTCAGAGGTCCTGGTCTGTGAACTCCTTGAGAAGCTGACCCCTCGGAGTTGGGGAGTTGTGCCAACCAGACATGGCCAGGGCCTGGGGTGGGAGACAGGGGCCTGTTGAGGGAGAAGGCCAGCGTCAGCCCAGGGCAGGGAGGCAGCTGGGGGTCTCTGGAGTCATCTTGACCCTCGAGAAGCCCTGGGGAAAGGTGGTGAGTGCTGCCAAGGTTGGATTCTTTTGCTGGACTTGGAATTGGCTGGCGGGTCCCAGCAGAGCCAGTCACCCGGAGCCTGAGGAGCTGGTTTGAGGAGTTGGGGCAAAGCCGTGGGGGCGGAGGGGTGTGTGGGTCTCTAGGGTGTGGTCATTACCTTCTTCGGAACTTGGGAACCTGCCTGGAGACAGGCAGAGAGGCGGACCGGGAGAGCTAGTCCTACTCCTCATGGGAACCGTGTGGCTCTCCCCCCCACTATTCCGGAGGCCCCAAAGTTTCTCTCCCCGGAGCTGGGCTGGCCACGTGCTGTGCATGCCTAGGTTTGAGGAAGGGTGGTGGCCGCTGGGGAGGATTTAGAATGTGCTACATGGGAGGTGGCAGTGGCAGGTATCTAGGGCTTTCTTCCTTCTCTTCGTCCCCCATGGGTTCATCTATGCTGGGATTTCCCTGGGCTCAGGCCCTCAGCTAGACTCCCAGGGCTTTCTGAGTACCCAGTTTCCAGCGTTCCTGGGTGTTCCTGTGGGAGTGTGGGAGGCAGGTGGGTGGGCCACAGGAGGATTCCCAAAGAATGAAGCCCCTTTTCGTCCCTGCTGGCCTCAGTTCCCACCAGGGCTCGGCTGGGCTGTCGCTGGCAGTCTTAGGTCAGTCACTGTGAGCACTGCAGGAGTTGCTCGGCTGTGGCCTCAGGTCCTTGTGACCATGTCACAGCCGGTGTCTCTGAGTGAGGTGTGTGTCATTGCCTGTGGGAGTGTCTGGCCATTTGGGAATGAGGGTCATCCCCTTGTAGCATGCCTGGATGTGTCACCTCTGCCTGCATTGTCAAGGGGCTTGGAGGCAGAGGATGGCAGTGGCATTCTGCCCTGGTGGTGGCAGTTCCTGCCGGCCCGCAGGGGTTGTAGGTAAGGACTGAAATGAGTTTCTCGGTCCTGGACAGATCTGTGCCAGCAGTTTGTGTCCAGAGGCCTCTGGGAGGTTGAGGACAGCCTTGGGGGTGCAGGTCCTGGCTAAGCAGACTGAGCAAGGCACTGCGCACGGCCTGTCGGGGAGGGGCATCCTGCCTGGTCTCCGGGGGCCGGAGCGGAGGTTCTGGGGGAAGGGGAAGTGCCTGGAGCTGATCCCGTCTACCGCTACTTGTCCTGGTGGGGCTGGGGCAGGCAGCTCTTTGGCGACAGAGCCCGAGCGGCCTGGCCCCAAGCCCCTGTAGTAGCGTGGCCCGACCGCTGGGGGGAGAGCAAGCAGCGCCCTCCCCAGATTGCAACCTTGGGTGGGGCAGACAGGCAGCTCCCAAACTGTAATCTACCCCCTAGGGCAAGACCAAGCGTTCTTCTTCACCCCCTCTCCTATGGGACGCCACCCTCAGAGCTGGTATCTGAATCCCAGTGGTCCTGGGTAAAGGCCCACTCTTCCCTGCTTCTATGTCCAGGTGTGGGGACTCCCCACTGGAGAATATGCTGTCCCTAGCACCCTCCTACAAGGAATGTGGAGAGTCCGTCTTGGCTAGGGAGGGAAGAAGGAATCTCCCTGACTGCTGGAAGTGAGAGCTTGGAGCTTCAGGTCTTCAGAGCTCACTGGGAGCGCGGGAGGGTGCTGTGCATGGTCCAGGTAGAGGGAGATGGAGAAAGGCATCATAGCAGAGTCAGAAAGCAACCAGCTGGCGAGGTCAGGGTGTGGGGGGCTGCCCTGGAAGTCAGCATGATGTGAGGGGTCAGGGAAAGGGGGTGATGGGGAGGAGAGGGCTGAGTGACTAGGCTGGAAAAACTTCCTCCTCATGGGAGTAGTGACTGCGGTGGTGCCTCCCTCTCCTAAGGGCAGGGAGCAGGGAGGGGGCCTGGCAGGTGCACACACAGAGGAGGAGGTACAGACTCAAGGGACACAGGCGCCAGGCGAACAGGTGTGGGGGCCTCCATGACAGGTGTCTGTTGTGAGCCGGTGAAGGCTGGCTGGGGCTGCAGGCTGCTCTGGGCTGTGTAGAGTGGAGAATGCGGCTGAGGCTCTCCATGTGTTCATGGTGTGTGTGTGTGTGTGTGTGTGTGTGTGTGTGTGTGTGTGTGTTTGTGTGTGTCTCCTTGTGTGCCTTTCTCTGGGGGTGCCTCCAGCGCCCGAGTTGCCTGTATTTTGCAACATGCTCGTCTAATTCTTCCTGGTGACTCCATCTCCCTAACCTGCCCCTCCTCCCTGTACGCCACCGAGAATTAGCTAGGTGGGTTTGTAAATGTCCTTAATGCCGGCTTAGACTCTGAGACGTCTGCACACTTCTGCTTCGGTTGGAATGGGCATAATGTTTTTTCCTAAACAAGTCTGGCAGCTGCATCCCGGAAGGGACATCACCCCTGTGTTTCTCCTTGTTCCTTTGGCCCCAGGGTCTCCCTGTCACGACTGATTCCATCTCCCAGCAGTGGAAATGCTTGTCTTGCCCTGGCAGCGCCGGCCTCTAGCGGGAGTCCGGTGCTGGTTGAGCCTCAGAAGGAGATGTTAGCTTGTCTCCCCCTGTTGGGACCCAAGAGAAATCTAGATAGAAGTGGGGTGGGGCTGGGCAGCTCAGGGTCCTGACCCCCTGGGGACCCAGCCTCATTAAGTCCCAGAAGCAAAAGGCCCCTCACATGCACAGCTCTGGGATGTCTGGCACTGTCCATTCT